TAACTAGCCATTTAATGCAAATACAGTCTTAGCTTCTGCTTCCTCTTCCATTTTCTTATATTTTATGCTTTCTCTACTTTTTTTCCCTCTTTTTCTGCCTGGTCTGGTTTTCACAGTTCGTTCTCGCTTTGTTGCGGTCTTATACTTATAATAAATCCATTGTTTTTTCCTTCCTGATTTAACTCACCTGGTGGCTTTTGGACAAGTCTATACTTTGCTCTGCTTATTCACTTTCTATGACACAAGTTATAATTTGTGTGATAAAGTAGGTGTCTTATTGCCATTTGTATTTTTGTGCAGCTTCCCTTAGTATGTAGCCACAAAAACACTGCAAATGTTTGCGTTTATCTTTTTATCACACATTACTGACAATATTCATTATATGAGCCATAATTACTAAGTAAAAACATTGTGATGTTCATCTTTTATTAGATCTAGCTTTTGTTCCTTTTCCGCTGCTTTCTCTTTGCCATCCTCTTCATTTGGTTCTTGGTTTCTGGTTTTCTCCCCTCTTTTTTTTTTTTCCATTACAATTCCTTTGTTCATTTTTACATCTCATTTATTTATTTCCCTGTTTACTTACTTATTTAGTTGTATTTCTCCAGATTTCCCACCACACTGTGGTTTATATTTTCATCGTTGTATTACTAGCTGTTACACGTGTTGGATTGGCTGATATTTGGTACTTGGAGTAGCATTTGTAACATTTCAGGTACCATTTATAATTTTTGGCAACAAATATCAAAAAATTGTTGCTTACAGTGGATGTAACAAATTTAATATTTGTTGTTTATGCTTCTTTCCTTTTATTTGCATTTGTTTCTCTTATTTTATTGATGAGTACTGGCAATGCAAAAGACTAACCACAGATTTTCTTCAATTTTAATGAATGTTAGTGAACCATATTCACCTCATTCATTGCTTTATAAATAGGCACTCTTCGGCTATTAAGTTCTTCCTTATTCCTTTTTGACCCATACCTATACATACCTATATAATTTACTTATCATATCTCAGTTTTAATCAACTTTTTCATGGCGATGATGATTATACATAATTTAAACACACTAAATTACATATGATTGACAGAACAAGTGCTATGAATGTATCGGCTTTATTCATTCAATCGATTTTATCCGATTACCTTCTTTTTCTTTTTTCCCGCAATTTCTCTTCTTCTCTTCCTATTAAAATGATCTCAAATCATTTCCTACCTTCGTATTTAATCATTCAATCCACTCCTAAATTTTTCACCCTTTCATCTTTCCTTCACTTAGACTAAGCTTTACCAAGTGTTTTTGCGCAAATGAGGCCATAGATTTAAATATTTTCTTGATACCTCTATTTTGTTAGATTCTTCCACTCTGGTTAGATATGCACTATAGACTATATTACGTCTCTCATGTTACTATTTCCTCCTATATCAATACATCAAATACTTTCTTCTGATTTTTGTTATTGACACTATTCTCTCTTTCCTCTTTTTTCTACCCTTCCCTTAGGCACATGATTTCCAACTCTTTTTAACTACACAATTTAATCATTTAGTCGTTTCCCCAATTTTCCCCTTCTCCATTTGTTCTTCTTGGGCTTCTTTGGTCACTATTGCAGCAATATAACCAGACATGTTAATATTTTTCCTCTTCACCTTCATCCACCAAGTAGTTCTTTAACGGCTTCACATTCTACTCCGCGCATTGTTTATGTTTTCTTCTATTGAATAGATATGATTCGCGCCCTTTATATTCATCATCCCATTGTATACTCTTTCGATACTTTATTTACCTTCCATTAGTTATTGTTCAGCTGAAGTACTATACATGTTTATATACAAATACATCTATAAATTGCTATATTAAAAACATCACCAACAATACCTTCCGCAGCATCGCGCGGGCACCAAGCTAGTTGAGTTCTATATTACAGTTCCCACACCAACACTATTAATGTTTTATAGCATTGTATTGTTCTTGGTCATTGGCTCATGAACATACCTTCTAAATAGTAGTTAGGCTCTTGTGAAAAATATCAACGGCTCCAAACTAAGGGCCCGTTTGGTTCACTAATTCGAGTTTTTAATTCGAGTTTAAATGTGATGTTGTGTCAGAACTTTTTACTCTAATAAAAAAGTTAAATGTGACTATTTTTTAGAGTTTTTTATTGTAACAAAACTCAAATTTTAAACTTGAATCAGCGAAATGAACGGGCCTAAATGAACTAGACTCTATAGATTATTCACTTTTTTTTTCTTTAGCTTTTGGTCAACAAAGCAACTTATCCGATAGTTAAAGCCGTACCATTTGTGCTTTTACCTAAAGTATTTGCTTTCCTTACATACCCCCTAGATTTAATAGCAATAGTCTTATCACAAAACACTTGTTACAATCTCATTTAAATCAAAAGTTATTTACCATTTTGTACCTAGCATTTCATGTTTATTCAGGAAGTATATTTATAGATTTTTAATCTCATTAAAAATATACCTTATAATAAACATATAAATCTTGGGTCTATTGTCCCCCTTTTCTGCTTTTCTCACATCCCTTTTTAAATCACCGACTAATTAAAATTTAAATCCTAACTATTACTTGTTACGCCCTTTTAGTATTCCAAATATATCCCTATATGATTATTTGTATCTTTTTATCTTTTTCAACTAGAGGTAAAAGTTCAAACTGCTCAAACTGGCCAGCCTTAAATGGGAGAGGGACGGCCTAATCCGATCCTATGTCCGAAAAGTTTAAGGCCGACTCAGAATTTTATAAGACATTTTCAACAACAAAAAAATCTTTTAAAAGAGTGTTTGAGCTGAGCCGGCCCGGTCTGAATAAATTTTTAGACTCAAAATCTTGGTCTGGCCCGACTCAAAATTTCAGGCTAATTCTGAATCAATAGTGACGGGCCTCGGACCGGCTCATTTAGTCCGGTCCAAATTTACAGCTTTATTTTCAACTCTGATAACTTGTTTCTTATTTGAAAATTGTTTTCTTTTTTCCATTTTTTTCCCTGCAAAGGTTCTTTATTTTTTATTACTTTTAATGAGATGGAATCTCACACACACATACAAAACCATTAGTTTTGTTAATTCAATAGATATATAAAAAGATTGCATAAGCAAGAAACTGGCGGTTGACCAGTTTGCTTACACTTGGGTCTTGTGCATCTATTTACCCATGGCCATTTTTTCCCCTCTTTTTTTTAATTAAGCATGCGCATGCCCTTGTAAACCTTACAATATCTCTACGTGCAATTTGTCTTGTTGTTTTCAGTGTTTTTCTTTAAATATTTACTTTTCTTTTTTATTTCCGTGAATTCTTTTAATAGTTTGTCTTTTTATTATCAACATAATTGCATTTTCTTTCTTTTCCTTTGTCTGTGCTATTTTTTATTACATTTTATTTTTTGCTTCTTTATTTTTAGGCGAGTATTATTAGTGCATGTTGGATTACTGCTTTTATGGGAGTATGAATTCGGAATGTATCTATTCTATATATAAGAAGCACGGATGAGTCGAAGTTTTAGGCTTCGTTCACTTCGCGAATTCGAGTTTTCAATTCGAGCTGAAATGTGATATTTTCTGAGAGCTTTTCACTGTAGCAGAAAAAGTTAGATGTGACATTTTCTGAGAGTTTTTTACTATAGAAACCTAAAACTGAAAACTCGAATCAGTGAAAATCAAATCTGAGAGCTTTCAACTGTGTGCTTATTTGCTTCTTCTTCTTTTTTTTTTTTTTTTTTTTTTTTTTTTTTTTTTTTTTTTTTTTTGCTTTCAAGCTTTTTTTTTCCTTAATTATGTTTTTCAACGTTTTCCCTTCTCATTTTTTTATTGTATTTTAAATGTTGTTCTTTTTCTTCTTTTTTTCAATCTTGTATTTTTCATTTTTTCCCATTAAAAATATTTCATTAATTTTCTCTTTAAACACCTCATTTATTGTTTTTCTTTTTTTACTTCCATAAATATTTTTACTAATGAATATGTACTTATAGTAGAGAAGATGTATATTTCTTCTCAATTTTTTCCAACCATCATTATGTATAATATGAAATTGTTAATTTTCATAAACTATAATCTTATTTAGGTTAAAATTTAAAACTTGTTATATATGAGAAAAGTTTTTATGAATATCATTTTAAAAAAAAATAATTATAAATTGGCTATATTTATTTAGGTTATTATTATTAGAACATTGTTAGCATCCCTAAATATATATATATATATATATATGATTAGCATGTCATACTTAATATAAGTTAGTATGTGTGCATGAATTTTATACTTTTTGTTCTTCAACTTCTTACCTTAATAAGTTACCTCAATTTCTCTTAATGAATTTTATAAGTTTCCTCAATTGTTACTGTTTTTAAAGTTAGGAGTGTAATTTACTAAAGTTAACAATTTGGGGTTCATTATGTTAAAAACGAATAGTTTAGAGTGTACTAATGCAATTTTCTCGACTATTAATACTCGCACCATAAACTAGTTGTATATGTGTGTGTGTGTGTTTTGAGTCAAATTAAAACAAAAAGAACATTTTTTTTTTAAATATATATAGTTGTATATATGTGTGTGTTTGAGTCAAATTAAAACAAAAAAAAATATAGTTGTATATATGTGTGTGTTTGAGTCAAATTGAAACAAAAAGAAAAATAAATAAATAAAAAAATAGATAATTAACATAACATTAATATGTCGACAAGATGAGTTAATCCATGTCTTGGTCAGCTTTCAAGTGTACTACAAATGAGGACAAAAACATGAAAGTTGAACTGACTGTGGCTTACGCTAGCTATCAACTGCACGATTGAATTTTATTTAAGATTCAGTTTTCATTTCACATGTTCCAAGTCCCCACACTGCTGGTGGCGGTTCAAATTCAATAATGAGCATCACTTATCATTCCCTTATGAGAAACATACCCCACTAAATTATCAAAAATATGAACACATATAGTAAGAGAAATATATATATATATATATATGTATACGTATTCTTGTTGCACACTCAAAAAGTATGGAGCTCAATTACACTCTTATCCCATGCATACAAGATGCCAATAACCAAAGATAACTGTATAAACGACTAGATTCAATTGCAAGTTGTTAATATGTAAGAAATGTGAAAACATTCATTCACTTTCACAGCGTAAAATGTATGTTACAGAGTTAGAGAAACAATGAGGCCTCAATATGATGGAAACGAGCCTTGCAAGTCCCTCTCTTTTATTGCAAATCTCAACTAAACGTGAGATCGTTTTTCCCTCCGAGGTGAGGGCGAAAGCAAACTCGAATCTCGTGCTCTTCCGGTTCTGCGTGGAGTTTTGGAACCAGAATCTCAAGTACTGATCCTGGCCCATCGTAGTAAGCTTCTATGTTAGCGTCTTCGAGGATTCGGGTTGAAAGCGGGATTTCTCTGACAAACTCTCCTGGAGGGCAGTGCTCCGATGAGGGATCTGTAAGCCTAAAAACCTTATCGTGTCTCTTGATAAACGGCACGCGAGATGTGCTCACACCGGACACCTTAATGATACCGTGTGTAAGAGTATTCCTCCAAGAAACTTTAACCCTCTGAAGATCTACACAGGGCAAGCTAATAATTATCAGATAACTTTCTTCATCCTCATAAATCGTTTTTGCACCGGTAACAGGCCCGTAAACATTCTTCATCACCCCGCTAAAGTCATTCAGCCAGTGTGGTCCATTTTGGTGAATTTCTGTATCTGGAATCCGATCGGGTGGAGGGTTAATTGCCAAGTAGCAATAGTCATTGTTTCCATTCGGGAATAGCCCCTTCCTCCTTTTGCTGCTCACGGGCGATAGGTCCATCCCCTCAGAACTACTGTGGTTCAATGGCTGGGTAGACAAGTTCAGGCCAGACCCATTTAGCAGCTTCTTCGAATTATTATTTGTGTTCCTCTTTATCGGAGAAGGCAGCCTCTCAAGCTCAAAATCTGTGTTGGGAAGGTTTCTCCATGAACTAAAGTCACTCGCTTCGGGAGGGATTGTAAAATTCCACTCCCTGCCGGTAAGTTCCATCCAACGTTTCTGATCTTCCTCACTAAATCCAGTGAGATTCGGGGAAGGAACAACCTCGATACCATGCACACATTGGGGGTTCGATAGACCCCTGTAATGCTTCCGCTGCATCCTGTGAGAACGAACAAATCCCTTATCAACACTGAACGGGAAGGGGCGCTCCCCTTGGCGAGAATGCCCGTTCATGTAACTCCTGAGCTGCATCTTACCTAAAGCATTCTCGGGCCTCTCCTTGAAGACCCACATGTACATGTTCTCCATGTCATGTTGAACCATGAAAACATCATGGTTGAGATCGGACTTATCAAACCCCGAAACTCCATTGTTGTCGCGAATAATTCTCGCCTTCAATTTCTCCCTCAACGCAGGCTTGAAGTAAAAAGTATAGAAAAACCAAGCACCCCATATGCTATCAACCCGCTTGGCACATTTTCGGCCAATCTTGGGAATGCTCACCAAACTCTCAGTCTCAAAGACGTGTGGAACAAGACCAACATCTAAAATTTCACAAGATTCGGCGTTCCATGGCAGCTGCTGCGGAGGCGGGCTGCGCTCGACTGAAAGGGGCAAGTTGATGTCAGGGGGGTGAGAGGGCGGGATTTGGCGATTCGTGTCGAAATCGAATTCGTCGTGGGAAGAGGAAGCGCTTGAATCCATGGACAAGAAAAGTGTGGATGAGTGGTGATGATTCTCCAATAATGACAGGGCTGTGAGGCGAGAATCTCCCATTTCAAGTGAATTCCTTGGAGGGTTTTGGTGTTGTTGGTTTAGGGTTTATTGTTATTATTGCCATATTCCCCCAAAAGAATCAAGTAAACAATTATCTCACAAACACCTTCATCATTCTCAGTCAGTCACCACTATATCTCCCCTCCATCAAAAGCCTAGATTTTACAATCAAATAAACAAATTTCTCACACACCCACATCAAAAAAAAATTAAAAAAATTAAAAAAATTAAAAAAATCCAAAGAAAATGAAACAAAAATTCAACACAAAGAATATCGATAGAACATTAAAAAAACGAAGGGTTTTTTTTTATCTTTTTGAAATATTTATTTATATTTGTATATATATGAATGAATCTCTAAAGAGAGCGCCTAATTTTATTCCCAAAACAAACGCTAAAGAAAGACTATATCTAAACCAAGCCTAAATATCTCCTGAAACCCACCAAACCCAGATGGGAGACGCGGAATCAAACCCATCAAATCTGATAATTGAAAATGAAAAAAAAAAAAGAAAAAGGAAAAAAGCAAAGACAGAAAACGGAAGATCTGGGAAGATTATGTTTTACCTTTTGGAATAAACAGAGGGGAATCTAGGGGAAGAAGGAGCTTGAGAGAGAAGCATGATGGTCATAATATCCACCGCCAAATCATCAACCACCATTATTGTCTTCTTCTTCTTCTTATTCTTCTGTTTCTTGTTGTTTTATTTTTGGGGTGTGAAATGAAATCTGAATTAAAAGGGAGATTTCATTCAGTTCAGTTCATCACTGCCTTTGCCACGCTTCTCCCTTATAAAGATGGACACGATTACGAGTCCTCGCTTACATCCCATTGGGTCTAAAGTCGCCAAATCATTATCAATTCTTTTTTTTTTTTACTAGTTGAGTCACGAATAACTTTATAAATTTAATCTGGCATCAAAACAAGTTGTTTTTTAAAAAATTAAAATAAACGTTTGATTTATAGATTCAGAATTATTCTTAATTTACGTGTATTTTTTTAAGAAAAAATACTGTAGTGAATCATGAACCATAATTCGAATTAGGATACGAATCTACCAACCAAACAACCCAAATTCATTAATCAAAGAAAAAGAAATATTTCAAATTCACATAAAAAAAGAACTAAAATTGTATAAGAGTTTTTGATAAAAAAAAAAAAAAAAAGTTAAGTTGGGAGATATTTGAAATAATTTATTTTAATTAATAGAAAGTATTTTAAAGAAGGATATGGTAGAAAAAAATGAATTGCCAAAGAATATTAGAGAAAAATAAAAATAGACGATAAGTAAAAGAAAAGAATAAAAAATTAAAAAAATGTTTAGAAAAGAAAAGAAAAAAAAAGTTAAAAATAAATTGTATATAAGTTATAAGCAAAAAGGAAAGAAAAAAAATAAAAGAAACTAAAAGTGAAATGAAATAGAAAAAACAAAAAACAAAAACAAAACATGAAGAAAAAAAATGAGAGGTTGACACATGGCTAACAAAGAAGTATTTTCTTTGCTCGTATGTTTAGATTTATTTTGTCAACGGCAACGTGTTTATTGGTGTCATTCGTCCCCCACCTTCATTTCTTTTCCCACTTTAGATATTTTTAGACACATTAACAGAATAAAAAGGACATGGTCCAATTCTATAGAATGATGGGTCTAATTTTTACTCATACTACTACACACACCACACAACACATTGGTCGGCCAGGGGTGGTGAAATGGGTTATGGAGCACCGAAGCATGTGTGTATCTCAGAGCATATCCAATACAATGTTTAAATTAATGTACCAATTATAAATTTTGATATTTAAGTGTAAATACTTTTCAATACATTACCATTTTTTACATTAAATTTGTCATATTCTATATTTTGTGACAAATTTGTATAGTATATGGTAAATTTAATATCTGATCATTATTAGTTGATATGTTCTTTTTTTTTCATTTAATCATTGTAATTTTTACATTTTAAAATTAATAATTTACTTTTACTACTTTTAAAACTTAATGATTTGATAAAAAGTAAATTTATCATTTAAAATAGCATTATGCGTTAGAGTACAAACGAAAATAACATGTTAAATATACTATTATCACATTTTTTAGTACTAAATATACAATTAGTATTAATATTTACTTAGGAGATGATCTTAGAAAGAGAAGAAAGAAAGATGACTTTATTGCTTTACTAATCTGACTTTTTTTTTATGTGCTTCAGGTGAGTGATTGGAACTCTACATATCAGGGGGAGTTTAGGTGTGAATTTACGATTAGGTTTTGTCTACAACTATCATTGCAATGCATCATCATCATTCTCATTTTGCAATTATTTAAACAAAAAAAAAATCTAAAATACCCATTTATTTTGCCTAAATACCACTTTTACTCTTCTTATTATTTAAATGCCCAAAATCTCATTGTGTTATAAAATTAGACTCAAAATACCCTCGAACCAATTAAATTTTCTCAAATATCAAGTCTATCCATCCCAACTATAATACCGAAAACCCTATTTATGTATATATTTATATAATCGGAAATACCCTAAATTAAAATGACATGTACAAACTGTTATGTACTGTTTCATTAAATAAAAAAATAGAAATAAAAAAAAGCAAGGGATCATGTGTGGCGAATCCAATTGGAAGATAAAAGATTACTTAATCTGAATCAACTTTAAAGATTCCCATTGCTTTTTTTTTTTTTTTTTCTCTCTTCCCACTCACTCCATTTTTCTCATAGAAATCTTTTAGTAGACAGACACCATAGGTGGACAAACTGTGGCTGCAGTGCTCCTACTCCTGATACCAATAAAAGCCTTTTTTTTTTTTTTTTTCCCAAAGAAAGAGAAAAATTTTGTCCACCAATCCATCCACTCCTTTAATGGTGGGTGTGCCTATCACTCGTATCCCATCAGTACTTCCTCTTAAACTCTGAAAATCTAACCCCAACAATTCAAAAGTGTGATTTGCTTTTTCTAGTGTTGTGGTGCATATTGATCTGTGAACTTCTGTTTGGATTCATGAAACCAATATATATACATATACATATATGTGTAAATGTACAATACATCATATAATATATAGGGACTTCTAAGGACCCTCATTTTAATGGATTATTACATAAATATACCTTCTAGCTCTAATTTTTTACAATTTATCCATTTCTTTTTAGAAACAACAAATGTCTCCTTTCAATTTAAAAAACTTCTTTCAATTTCATCCCTCCCGCACTTGTGGATTGGGAAAAAAAAAAAAAAGATGGTATTTTTAGAGACTACTAGGCGTAATTACGCAATCAAAACTACAAGTCATATCAATGTATATTTATCACATATATGAGGTACATAATAACTAGTATGAATCAGAAAACAAAATATTATTGCATCTTTTGAAAATCATGATCTTTATTATATAAAATAAATATCGTATGTTACATCTAAACCTTTATTACATGCGAGAATACTACTACTGAAAGTGAACCGCCTAAGAAAAAGTGTCCATATATATATAAATATGAAGAACCAAATAGGCAAATAGCCGTGTCCTGGTTTTCTTTCTTCTATTATTACTTTTGTCTCGCGTCAACACTATAATGGTCTTTGGTCTATTAAAGGAAAAGGCATGTAATGGTATATGCTTGCAGCTTACTTCATTATAACATTAAAATTAAACCTTCCTTACTTTTTATTATTATTTTTTTTTTATACCATTATCAGACACCAGATAGCAAACTCTTTTTTTTTTTTTTTTTTTTTGCATTTATGATGATTTGATGAATATGTGGCCAAATTATCAAAATGAGTATGCAAGTACAATTACTTAAAGAGCACCCAAAAGAAGAGATCGTGTTAGATTTCTTTTATAGGTACATCTCATATATATAATATATTCTTTTTGACTAAACTGGCTTTCATGAGACAAGAAATGACTAGGTAAAGTGCACTCTAATTAGGAGAAACACTTTCTCTCGGCACTTGGACATTTTATTTTATTTAATATATAAGAGACATTTCTTTTATAAGAAGAAAACAGAAAACTGAGAAGTGGGAGTGTTTATATATAGGTGTATGATTAAAGCAGAGAAGTAAAGATCAGAGAAACAAAGTGGAACTTTTTAAATTTAAAAAAAAAATTATATATATATATAT